TAAAAGAAATACAGGGGAAAAAAAAGTTGAAAAATTATCATTAGAAAAATCTAAATAAACAATAACATTTCAGCAGCAAGATAACAGTTAAGGAGAAGAAGGAGTTGATTAGGGTACACTAAAAGCCTTCACTTCATCTGCAAATAACATTTCTATGCTTTGTAACAAATCATATTTTTAGTGTAATTTTAAACAGGACAAATTATAGAATAAAATGTATATTTTTATGTTTATATTTTTTATTTAGTAACACTAATTTGTTGTTAAACTCACACTGATCAAACTAGAAAAAAAACTGCATATTTTATAGTTTTGTTATGATTTTGTCTATAGATTACATTAAAAAAAAAGTCATTTTTGTGAGACAATGTCAAACGCTTTGTTTGTCCTAATAAAATATATGAAATATATAAATTACTTTATTTGGCAATAACTTTGTCATTACTTAAGATAATTTACAGGCCCATAGCAGAAATGTAATAATTTATCTGGTCTATAGGAGGTGTGGAGGTGTGAGAGCTGAAGTGGTAAATGATAATGAGCTTGCACTACCCTGCGTCCACAATGACTAGAGACCCAAATCCACATATTTCATGTTCCTCCCGTAGAATTCCACAAATGCTTCACCGCCTTTATCACAGCAACACTAGCAAACAAAGATACTTGGATACATAGAGAAAAACCTGGGAGTACACATTCTTGGACTTGCACCCTCAACAGAAAACACTGAAGAGACATACAAATCATCTCACCTTCTATGGAAGAGTCGGAATTTATATAGGCGACTCCTCTTTGCTGGAGAATTTTAGCATTTTCCTTTAAAAAAATAAAAATATATAGAATAAAGTAAAAACATTTTTGTTAACTTCATTGGATAAACATCAGGAACAGGAAAGAAATGTATACGATTACAGGACTTCCTGTTCTGTAGACACAAAATGTAAAATAATGGGCTAGTGAGAGGCCGTTGTGGGCAATAATAAACAGGTCCAGATTAGTCGCAGGAAGTTTCTGCAACTCTCAGTATGATGGGCTCGGGCGTGTTCGCAGCTCCACGTGCCGAGCCCGCCAGGAAGCTGACAGCGCCACAGCGCCAATCACAGGTACTGATACATTGTCAGCTTCCTGGGGGGCTCGGCAAGTGGAGCTGCGAACACGCCCAGGCCCATCACTAACCCTCAGGAGCCATTTAAACTCACTGCATCAATAAAACCAACAAAAAACACCTTAAAGCTCATCTCTAGGCATAAGTATATTGAAGTGTGATTGTATTGTGATTGTAATGTCTTCCTGTCTTCCTCTTATTGTAAATTGCTGCGCAAACTGTTGGCACTATATAAATCCTGTATTATAATAATAATAATAATTTAAATATATAAAAGCCCCCCCCTTCAAGATTACCCCAATCCCTTCAATAAAAAAAATTGCAGAGCACATATCAGGCAATATTCATTGTGTCTTTTAGAAGAACAGGAAACAGCTTTGATTGAACTGCACCTGCATCAGGGAACTGCATAGACTTCTATGGGCTGCCTGTATATTAGATAAACACTTTACATTTTCCATAATTTCACTATCACCTTTCACCATAGAGTCACTTTCAAGGAATAGCCCACCGTAAAAGAAGCCTTAGTATACTATACTTTGAAAGTATTTGACCATCAGATGAGTCGAATTTTTGCTCCTCCTGTGGTTCCTCCCGCCACCTCATAAATCTTGTAGTAACGAACAAGCCGACGGGAGTAACCACAGTGACCAGAGGGGGAGAAGAAGGTATTTTACACACCTTAAAATTTAGAATATTTGCAGGAGCTTGGGAGCAGAGGTGAGCTGGGGAGGTGAGCTGGGGAGCGGAGGTGAGCTGGGGGAGAGCTGAGGTGAGCTGGGAACCGGAGGAGAGCTGGAGAGCGGAGGTGAGCTGGGGAGCGGAGGTGAGCTGGAGAGCGGAGGTGAGCTGGGGGAGAGGGGGGTGAGCTGGGAACCGGAGGAGAGCTGGAGAGCGGAGGTGAGCTGGGGAGCGGAGGTGAGCTGGAGAGCGGAGGTGAGCTGGGGGAGAGGGGGGTGAGCTGGGAACCGGAGGAGAGCTGGAGAGCGGAGGTGAGCTGGGGAGCGGAGGTGAGCTGGAGAGCGGAGGTGAGCTGGGGGAGAGGGGGGTGAGCTGGGAACCGGAGGAGAGCTGGAGAGCGGAGGTGAGCTGGGGAGCGGAGGTGAGCTGGAGAGCGGAGGTGAGCTGGGGGAGAGGGGGGTGAGCTGGGAACCGGAGGAGAGCTGGAGAGCGGAGGTGAGCTGGGGAGCGGAGGTGAGCTGGAGAGCGGAGGTGAGCTGGGGGAGAGGGGGGTGAGCTGGGAACCGGAGGAGAGCTGGAGAGCGGAGGTGAGCTGGGGAGCGGAGGTGAGCTGGAGAGCGGAGGTGAGCTGGGGGAGAGGGGGGTGAGCTGGGAACCGGAGGAGAGCTGGAGAGCGGAGGTGAGCTGGGGGAGAGGGGGGTGAGCTGGGAACCGGAGGAGAGCTGGGAACCGGAGGAGAGCTGGAGAGCGGAGGTGATCTGGGGACCGGATGTGAGCTGGGGAGGGCAGGTGAGCTGGGGAGGGATGGTAAGCTGGAGAGCGGAGGTGAACTGGGGACTGGAGGTGAGCTGGAGAGCAGAGGTGAACTGGAGAGCGGAGGTGAGCTGCGGAGCAGAGATGTGAAGGGGAACAGAGAAGTGCTGGGCAGCAGAGATGTGCTGGGCAGTGGAGATGCAGTGGGTTATTCTGTAATAGTGGCGATAGGTTCACTAACTTCTCAAGCAATATTTAATCATTTTGTAGCATGACAGTAAACTCTTCAAAAATTATAATTTCCCTAATAAACTATGAAAATAAATGAGATGCAAATGAGGAAACAGGAAATTAGATTTACCTCTAGGAAATCAAAAATCCTCTTAAGACTAGGTGAACATACCAAGAACAAGCAGGTGTGATAAAGAAGAACACAGAACAGGACAGAGAGGAGCCACATTGTTCTGTGCATTGATGGTCTGTAACCCTAGGACCATAATAACATACTAAGAGGGAGGTGTGGCAGGTCTATGATCGCCGAGCTGTGCAGGCTGCAAAGTAGGGATTCACCTGGGCAGTCCGGGTTTGGAATGCTGTGTCCGGGTTTCATTGCAGCAGAAACCCAGACACAAGATGTCATACAGACAGGGACAACCAAAATTAAGATCGGGGCTACTGGCCCCCCACTGGAAATAGTCTCAACTGTGATATTTACATATGAATGAGTGGCACTATTTACATATGAATAAGCCACTACCCATTCTCCCCCAAAAAATTTCAGCGCGCTGGTAGGTGTTCGGGTTTTGCTTGAAGAAAAGGTGGCAACCCTACTGCAAAGCTGAAACCAAGAGGTCATAGAACATTCTAGGACCTCGTGCACTGCCTGCACAGCATTTGGGAACACACAACATGTCGTTTTGCAACTTTTTAACTTACAATTTAGGAGTGTTTGCATTAAAAAATAAACTTAAAGTTCTGCTTTAGGGCAGCCAAGAGTACAGTGATAAGGAGAGGGCAGTAATTCGTAGCAACCAATTGGATTTCATTGTAAAGGAGAATTCCGATATTATGGGATAATACATTGTGTCAGAGTCAACAATCTAACCTCTGCCCATTCTGTTGATCCCAGAAGTCCAAATTCTTCCGCATCCCAGCTTGCAAAAATAATTGTTCTCCTGGGTCTCCAACCTGAAAAAAATGTTGCTTAGCTGTAGACAAGATTGTGTTCTTCACTACTCAGATAAGGTAACACAACAACAAATGTAGAGAGACACAGGGCTGTCCCTATAATGATGCAGCCTGAGGCGGTTGCCTCATGTGGCATCTCATTGGGTCATGTGTGGGGTGACAGGTGTGCCTGCCGCCCCCTTTTGGGCCAGAGAACCCCAGGTTGATAAGATCTCTAAGCAATCTGTGACACTCTGGCTGGCATCCTGCCAACTCCTAGCAACCAGTGACGTCAGTGAGCAGGCCAGGATGCTGTGCACCACAAGCCACCCCTATACAGCTCCACATAGGGACATTAACAGGGCTGTATGTAGGTTAATGGAACTTGAGGATCAGTGCATAGGGCAGCAGAATAAGTAGGGGGGCAGCACCAGGCCTGAAAATGTACGAATGTTGATAATCCTTTTATGCTTTTTTTGTTTGCAACTTCTGGTTACCTTTAGACATTTGTTCAGCAAGAGAAGTGTAGGGGGTAGCAGCCTGCAGGGGTTGGTGAGAGGAGTCAGAAGAGTCATTAAAGTTTAAGACACATGAAACCATCTTTCCTTGAACTAGCTGATTGATCTCTACATTTAAAAAGAAGTTCTACAAATAAAGCGGACGGTATACAAGTACCTGCCATAGTGCATCCTTGTAATTGTTTCCAATTAAAAAAAGAATCACATGACACAAGGGGAGTCTACCTTCTTTCCAGCCTAGTCCTGCCATGCCATGCTGTGATGGAGCAGGCTAGTGCTCAGGTAGAGTATGTTGTATGCTTTCTGTGCTGGACATAGTGTCTTACTCTCCTTATTAACATTAAAGAAGTGAGCACAAATAACCCTCATGTGACCTTCAACCCCAGCAGCCAAGATCACATGGGCTTGGGCCAGCAAATCATTACCCACAGTAGAGGGTCTATTGTTTTCCATCCATCAGACAGACAAAGTCTGGTAGATCTGAAATGAGACTGGAGGCTTAGCAAGGAAAAACGCTGAGCGAAGCACATAGTACAGCAGTACAATGCACATAGTACAGCAGTACGAAGCACATAGTACAGCAGTACAATGCACATAGTACAGCAGTACAATGCACATAGTACAGCAGTACGAAGCACATAGTACAGCAGTACGAAGCACATAGTACAGCAGTGCGAAGCACATAGTACAGCAGTGCGAAGCACATAGTACAGCAGTGCGAAGCACATAGTACAGCAGTGCGAAGCACATAGTACAGCAGTGCGAAGCACATAGTACAGCA